ATTCCCCCCAACATCCCCCCCAACATCCCCCCCTATCACCTCCATCTGCACCAGCGGACTCGACGCCCGCAACGACGAGAACGACCCCGACTTGATCCGACTCAGCGTCTTTTTCGAGATCGTCTGGCCCGCGACGGGGGAGGCGATGACGACTGTCCCGCGCGTGGTTGCCGGCGGCGGGTCTGGACTACTAGTTCTAAAGAGCGGGTGGATGTGGGCTTCGAAGGAGTGGGTGCGGGCGCGGCGGCCGCTGCTGCTGCTGCTGCTGCTGCCGCTGGTGGTGGTGGAGGGGGGGAATTTGGGCCAGGGGAGGGGCGTGTTGTAGTTGTAGTTGTTGTTGTAGTTGTAGTTGTAGTTGTTGTTGTTGTTGTTGTTGTTGTTGTTGTTGTTGTTGTTGTTGTTGTAGGGGATGTGGTGGGGGGTGATAGGGGTGGTGAGGCGTAGAGGGTGGGGCGGGGGGGTGCGGGGGGTGCGGGAACAGGAGCAGGGGCGGGTGCTGGGGGAGATGGGGGAGATGGGGGAGCTGGGCAGGGAGGAGGAGAGGGAGGTTATGGTTGGGGAGTCTGGGAGGATGGAATCTTCGCGGGTGTCCCGCAGGGGCGGGCCGGCTGATTGCCGGAGTGGGTGGTAGGTTATTGAGGGGTCGGTTATTGTCGTTGCTGCGGTGGTGTTTGTGAAGGAGGATGCGCGGCTGTTGGGTCGGGAGGTTGGTTTGTAACGATCGTTGTTGCTGAGTTTATTGTTGTATTCTGGGCTACTGTAGCGGTTCATGGGGGAAGTCTTTTGCAGACTTGACTGAAAGAGAGCGTCGCAGATCTCGCGCGGGACGCTGGAGGTGTCCCATTGGTCGAATGTATGTTCTTGCTCCAGTGGGCTGCTGCTGCTGTTAAAGGAGGAGGCTGCATTGCCAGGTGTTGGATATTTAACTTGTTGGCGGCTTTGGCTGTGGCCGCGGTTATGTTGTTGGAGATGTTGCAGAATGTGCAGATTTAGGATGGGGTTGCCCGGATATAGCAACGAATCGCTGTGTTTCTGTTCTGAGTCGCAGTGCGAATTCGCTGGGGCACTGGGAGGGTGTTTGTGCTCTGGTGATGTGGTAGATTGGGCGGAGATTGAGGGTCTCCTCCCTATCAGCCTTATAAGATGCCCCTTGAATCGTAGAAACCTGGCTGCGCTTGAGGCTAATTTGGATATCGCGTCGATTCTCAAGGTCGGCCTATGCTCTGGAGGCAATGCTAAGCCGACGTAGAATAATATCTGTAGAGCAATGGCTACAGCCCATACCCCGCACCACGCGGTGTAGAGTGCGCGGGTACGGTGGGGGATTCGAATAGCCCTCGAGTTCTTGAATAGGGCGGAATCGCAGGCTCGCAGTGTAATTGCGACGAATATGAGTGCAGCGCAAAGGATTGCGCCCAGTAGGATGAAAGCCAATCCACGGCACGATCTCCAAAACTGCCCGCCCCTTGTTGCATTCGTCGTAAATGAGACGAGTAGCAGGCCCAGGACAATCGAGCTTATGGCCGTGAGCACCACTGCCACATATGCAAGGAATGCCTTGTCATAGACTGCGTGTTCGAGCGATGCAGCAAACACCCCATTGACAATGGCTGATGTCGTGGTGCATAGGATTGCCGACGAACCCAGGAAGTAGAGGAGAAGAGGCCTCTGCATCTTCGCCCGCGCGTACCTGCCGGCCGCTCACACGCCAATTGAGTAATAATATAAAAAGCTTTGTAGATAGATAGATAGGTGAACTCTCAGAAGATAGGAACAGTGGTTGACAGCAAGTTCTAGAGCACCCGAGTGTATTCAATAGAATTGTAGACAAATTCCCGCTATACTCCGCTCAACGGGTATTGTTCGGCGAGCTAGGATATGGGGGGCTCAGAGTCCGTCACGCCCGGTGCACAGATTGGTCCAAGGACAAAGTCTTACTCTTTTGAACGTGGACCAGGCAGGGGGAGGAGGGGGGGGGGCAAATAAAAGTACAAGGTAAACAATTGGACAAACCAATTTCCTTTAAAAGCGTAGAAAAAAAAAACTCAAATGTGCTGAGAGTTAACTAAAAGATAGATGGTCAAACCTTCTACCAACAGGAGGACGCGATCAGGAGGAGCACAACAACAACATAACGCGAGATATGTAGGGCAGGGAGATAAAACCACCCAAACACACAGAAAAAGAAAAAGAAACAGAAGAAGAAAAATAAAAAATAAAAATAAAGCCGTCCTGAAACAAGATAGGAAATGATTGTTAGGTTTGCTGCCGTGTCCATGCGGGACAATAGAGGGTTTAAATGGCAGCCAACCCACCGCATGTTTCCCGAAGCGCTGCAGGACATGGCTACACGGCCGGAGACAAGGCTCTTTGGCCTTTGCAATAACTAAGTTATTAGAGGAGCAAGTGGGGGAGAAAAGCCAGTTGAGACAGACACAACATCATCCCGCGGCCGTTCTCAGTATTCTTCCCAAAGATTACATGCGCGTCATCCGAATCCGCTCAAGCTGCGCCGTTCTTCGATTCAACCTTCCGTTTTTTTTTTTTTTTTGTTAGCTAGGAGGACCGTAAAACCGGGTTTGGACGGTGGGGAAGAAAACAAGGAATTGACATCCAGGAACGCCGTCAGTCAGTCAGTCAGTCCTCTTAATCCGGGCAAGGTTGTGTAGGAGAATCTAGATACCTAGCTATCCGTAGCTAAAAAGAACCAACAAGCAAGCATCCCGTACATAGTACGGAGTAGTAGCAGTAGAGTAGTGGTAGTATATCCATGCGAGCATATCCGTGAAGAATGATGAAAGTGGAGTGGAAGTGCTAACTATTCAATCTAGTTAACTCAATGTATATTTTTGAGCAGCCCGCTTCCAAGGGCCTAGATTGGGCAAAAAGGTTGATGACGACATGACATGATAAATACGATATCGCCAAAATACTAGCCAGGGGAGACGCGCGCCGGGGGCGTGGAATACAAGTCACTGTCTCATCTGGTACTCACCACTCTTGGATGTTGCTCTCGGATTAAGAATCATATACACAAAGACTAATCAACACTCCATCAACCACCGGCGGCTAGTTAATGCACGGTGTTCGTGTCAGTGATATATAACCAACCCCATGAGCATAAACTACACCCCCAATGTTCAATCCCCCATCAAGCGGACTGACTGTCCAAGAAGAAGAGAAGAAATTACAGGCACAAGAAGGGGCTAGCTATAACTAGCTAATCTCCGCCACGGAGAAAACAGAAAACCCAAACTTGCCCCCCCTTGCGTTCCACCCCAGCGCGTTTAACTCAATAGTTATTCCTTACAAGACGAGAAGAATAAACAAACGCGTCCCGTGTCTCTTAGCTTGATTTCTCTTTGGAATTCGAACAATCTTATTATTTATCATGGAAAGTTAGTTAGCTGTCACTCTTCCATCTTCCACTCTCCTTGCTGCTCGGGATGCTTTGCTTGCCAGACCGTTTCTCGCCATCGATGAAATGGATTTGAACAGAGCGTTAATTTATCCCCAAAATATAAATAAATACATAAATAAATAAATAAATAAACGTCCGTTTCAAGCACATCCCTCAGTTGATGAAACAAACCTATTGTCACAAGGCTGAATCTTGATCTCACCTCCCCTAAGATTTTAACTAATGCCGCTAAACAAGTAGTTATATTGTATGTATATGGATGATCCTGTCATATTTCAATGCAGATATTCGTGTTTCAGACATGTTGTCCTCAACTTGAAGAAAATCTATAACTACCACCTATAATTAAGAGTACTTAATGTATAACTAAGATCAGTCAGTTGAAGTTAACTATTACCAAATTAACTACTTGGCTGTGTTGTTTCATAAAGAAGTTGTTAGTACGTTAGTGTTTTGTTTCAAGTCATCCAGATTAAGGACTCTTGGAGCTGGTTGTTGTAAATAGACTTCCCACTGCCTCAACCGTTATCTCTTCATCATCACACTGTGTTTCTTCCATTTCTCTCTCTCTCTCCATCTCACGTGTGTTATATCCTACTGTAGGCTCATTGATATTGAGCAGTTTTCAAAGTTAACCCAATCCGACGCCTGTCAAAAAAAAAAAAAAAAAAAAAAAAAAAAAAAAAAAAAAAAGGCCCAACATCTTCAAATGTTCGTTTCATAATGACCAACAACATCAAGATCAACAACACATGCAAGCAAGCAATAAGCAATATGATAGTTACATGATAGTAATTGCATATGTTAGTTAGTGAACTTGTTTCAGAAAACTTGTACAATTCTTCACTCCTCCTTTTCTTAGTTGGACCCTCTTCGCAAGGCAGCCGGAGATATCACCAACCATCAAGTTAAGTGAAGATGGGGAAGGGGTTCTGTATTCTTTTTTGTATGCACAACCAAGCTTTCAAAATGTCCTTGTTAGACCTACCCAGCTGTCGGTGATGGCGCCTGCTAGGGATACAGGATATGTTGTGTCTTCGCTCATACAATAATTAGTTCTTTATTCTTTTTTTAACCCAGCGCGGAAGTCTGAAACACGAAGGGGATAATAATAACGATCACGACATAAAGGATAGTTATACTGCGTACGGACAGACTCCACCGGCGTTCTACATAAAAAGTATCTGCTCGAAAGATAATCCGAATATCAACAGGGGCGGCGGGGCGCGGGATGAGATATATGTATCATTGGTAAAGGCGCTCACTGGGCGGATGCAGCTACTGTGCCCGTACGTCAGACAGAGGCAAATGGTCTCACAACGAAAAATCAGCAATTGGGCGTGGTGCTTTGAGAGACACGGCAGCGGCTGATTGGTACGGAGCTGTATGTCCTGTACGGAGTAGTGCATTATTATTTTCCATCCGCTCAGACAGCCCCCGGGAATGCTGGATGATGGCCCGACTAACCCTAGCCAAGCAAGCTTAGAAGTTAGCAACCAGTCAAGGACACGAGCTCATGAGTGGTTGAGAAGCGCCCTGCTCCCCACAAGCAACCAGCACGGAAGCAGGCATGTCGCGGATGGACGCTGATCGAGGCTAGTGCAGCCCCTCGGGAGGCTAAGGCGGACCATGGCTTTCAACGACCTCAAAAAAGAAATCCACAGGCGATCACGATGACGATGGAGCAGCATCCCGCCTGCAGATTTCCAACTGCGCAAGATGATGGATGTGCTTTCTGCTGTCTGCGGCGTTGCGTGGCTGTGGAAAATTGAAACATGTGTCCCTCCGTTCCAGCCCACGGGCCTCGAGCCCCCGCCCAAGGACTAACAGTTAACAGTTAACAGTTCGCACCAAAGCGAAACCGGGCGAAATGCGTTATCGTCCTCTGCCAGGCTGCATTGCAGGTATTAAGTTTACCTGCGTGTGCCGTACAGAAAGAGATGCACCAAGTCAATGGGATATTATTGAAACGAAGGTCGAGGTCGATACAGGCTCGAATGGCCAGCCATTGGAGGCGTGGAGGACGCTGTTTTGATTGATTCCTTTCCTTTCTTTTTTCTCTCTCGCTTGCATCGGTATAGATGCCGGCGAAGTGGCATGGATGTTCTGTGACGAGATGCGATCTGGAATCCCCAAACGGCTATGTCACAATACCTGCTTTTTGCCGTGCGACCCTGCTGTGGAGGCAAGTACATGTACATGTACATTACATACTCCGTACATACATACATACATACATATACCAGTGCCAGGCACCGCACACCACGCCCATCCAATGGCCCATGGCTCGCCCTGCCTTACTTTAACCTTCTTCTCCGCTCATTTTTGGATTTTGTGTCTCTCCAGTTTTCTCTTCCGCAGTCCGTTCCTTGTTCTGCAACTTTGCCTTCCGCAATTCCAGAAACGACAAAACTGTTTCGCGACGTCTCTTCCTGTTCCTAGTTGTCAGATCTTTCAGTCCACTCCCACAATTTATGAGAACCTTCATTTAGTCGCTCTATTAGATATCCAAACTGTCTATACTCCCAGGACGACAAATGCGTGCATCTCCGGCGCTCACAAACCCCGCACGGATCCGTTTCCCTGCGCAATCTTTCCCTCCCTGTCAATTATCAAGTTGATTCCGGGCCAGTTTCGCCCACTACCTCTCATCTCCAACGATGAAATGCAGCCTCCGTTTTGCCGTCGGCATATCCTGTCTCATACTCGTCGCCTTGTGGTTTCTCGTGCGGCATTTCGCAGATCTCCTGGACCAGTACAGCGGAGGTTCATATTTGATTGACTACTTTTATGCGCGCTTCGGTTCCGGGTCCCTTGATTTGCGGAAAGACCCAGTACGTGCCCACGATGTCGAGGTGGGTGATAAAATCATTGTCATGGCAAAACTGGAAGAAGAGGACACAGATTGGGTACGGGATGAGCTGCCAGAGTATGTTCCTCACCCCGATTCCCAAATCACCAACCAGCTCAATAAACCACAAGCTAACCCGTAGCCCGAATATTTTTTCATGATACCACAGCTGGCAAAGAGCCGTATACATCGTAAACCCCTCCCAAAAAACTCTTAACGACCCCAGCGCCCTCACCGTCCCCACAAACAAAGGCCGCGAATCCATGGCCTACCTCTCCTACATCATAGATAACTACCACATCCTCCCTCGCACCATCGCCTTCCTCCACGCGCATCGCTCCGGTTTCTTGCAGGCATGGCACGTCGATGCGCCCTTGCACGATAACGTCATCGCCATGCGCACGCTCCGGATCGACTATGTGCAGCACAGCGGCTATGTCAATCTGCGCTGTAATTGGAACCCCGGCTGCAAGAAAGCGCATAGGATCAATCGGCATGTGACAGACGAGGTGTGGGCGGAAGTATTCTCGGGGACGAGCACCCCGCCGCGGAATCAGTCGTCATCATCGTCGTCGTCGGCCCAAATCTCATTGGCGACTGTAGGAGGTGGAGGTGGAGGTGGAAGTGGAAGTGGAGAAGAACAAGGAGAAGAAAGCGCAGCAGCTGTTGCAGGCGACGACACCAACCATCCACTGCTGAAAACCATGGATAAACCGGCAGAGGTGGCAGCAGCGTGTTGCGCACAGTTTGCCATGTCGCGCGAGCAGGTTCTAAAGAGGCCGTTGGAGGATTATATACACTTCCGCAACTGGGTGATTTCGACCGAGAAGGATGATGCGAGCAGCGGGCGTGTCATGGAGTTCTTGTGGCATATTATTTTTGGGATGGATTCTGTGTTGTAAGTTTTTCGATTGTTTTCTTTTCTTTTCATCCCCTTTTTTTCTTTTCGCTTTCAATATTCCCACCCCACCCCCACATTTGAAAAGCAGCTCTATCTCCATCCTCCATTCCGAACCATTTTCATGCCCTACTAACTAACACCATATATTTTTGCCCTCGATGAATTTAGTTGCCCTGACGAAGAAGTCTGCTACTGCGCCGTTTTCGGACGGTGCAAATGAAATCAACGAATTAAACAAACACTCCCTGCATTTTCTTCTTCCCCATTTCGCCCACTCTTAAGTTGGTCCTTCGTAGATCAATATAATTATATCTAGAGTATCTTCAGGCGCACTTGTACCTTGCACCCCGGATTTTCCCTCTGTAATTTGAATTTTATTTTCTTTGTCTTTCCTTTTTCCATAAACTTTTTTTTCCGCACAGCGGAACGCATATCGGGATTTCGGGAATCATGGCATTGTATTACTGGGTCTCTCGTGGCTGGCTTCAGGACGGATTGTTGGTATCAGGGGGGGGCACATGCTTTAGTAATAAGACCAGGAACTAAACAAGATCTAGTAATCGACAACAGCTTTCTCGCGCCAATTTCAATCCCCTGGGGACTAATTAGCTGAATATTCGATCGGCGAATAAATAGGCATCTGCATTTTTTCTTCTTATTTTTGTCTTCGCACCTGTGTGTTGTCCATGATATGAATTGCGGGGGTTGGACAAGAGTCATCTTGAGTCATACTGTCGTGAAATATATCAATCTATCATTTTTTTGCACCCTGAGGCGTTTATGAGTCAGTACTACATGCAACTACCTAACGACTGAATTTTTAATATTAATTGAATGAAGTTATATATACTGAGGGCCAGCACCCCGCTGAACGACAAGAGAGCTGCGTTACCAAACAATACAACAATACCAAGTAGAAAACACTCCAATACGCCATCCTCATACAAGGCCCATACCATACCCAATATTGGTTATAAATTTCTGCTGACGTAACCCGCCGTCCCTCCTCCTCTCGGAGACTCTTCAAATCGAACGCCGCATCTGATGAACATCTCTCATCCTCTCCTCCTCATCCCGCGAGCATCGAGGGCCCCCAGCGATAAACAACCTACGGCGCAGTGCCTATAGCTGCAATAACCCCAAGCCGAGTCTCCTCTGCTCCCCTCGTCGAATCTAAGAACCACGACGAGACCAAGAAGAAAAAAAAGCGGGCAGAGAAATTCATTCCTAGTTAACTAGTTTGCCCCTCATCGACCCCTCCCTCTTCTTCTTCCTCTCGACTCTGTACTCCACGTCACAAAACACTACCCGGCAAAAAAAAACCAAAGCATAAAGAATTTTCTTTTTATTTAAAAGAATTCACAACCAAAAACAAACGACAACGAGAAATACCACATACATCGTTACCTAGTTATACTATACTCCATCCATCTCCTCCCCGCACCCACACCCCGCCGCACCGAATCGAATCCTTCTACCGCACAACAGAAAATTAACAAAAGAGAAGACAGAGAAAGAAGAAAATACATTTATACGCTTTCCGGGAAATAGAATACATAGAGAGGAAAAAGAAAAAATCATAAATAGAACCAAAGGAAATTAAGGATCTGTTTGAAATAAATCATGGCGGTTCGCGCTCGATTTGAGAACTCGAATGAGTTGAGTTTTCCCCCTTCCTTGCTTCTTCTGCTTCTTTTTCCAGTTCTTTCTTTTGCCTCGTTCAATTTTACAGTTAAGAAGATACCCTTTTCTCTTTTTTCCCTTTTTTACTTTCTTCCTTTTCTTTTTCAGTTTCTTCGAAAGATGGAAAATTTTCATTTCTTCTCGCAAAGGTTATTGTTACCACTTATTTTCCCGGGCTAACATGTCTCACTGCCCAGGGTCGGTGTGTTCGCGACATTGACGAATTCATACGCATTGGTGGCGATCGGCTCGTCAGAGAACTTTTACAGGTATGGATTTCTTTCTTTTTTTTCTGTCTTCTCGATTTTTCCAAAAATGGCCTTGTGTTCTTTGATGGGATGGTCATATTGGGAAATTAAGGTGGGGGAAAGGCTTCATGAACCCCATTTGGTTCACTCTCTTGTGGGTAATGAGAGGGGATTGGATCGCAGATTGAAATTCGGATCGGGAATATCTGATAGGTGTCCCCTTTGGAGCCTTATATTCGAAGAACCGGCATTATTCTACCATGAGCGTGGAATCTGACTATGAGTTGGTGGGAAGGAAGTGCCGGGTTGATATATAACTGGGCGGCTCATCGGTTTCTGCGTTCCTGGACGGAGAACATTCATATACAGGCTGACCCGATTCGATTCGAGAAGAATGGCGGACATTTTGAAATTTTTGCAAACTTGTGTCATGGAGGATCGGGAAAAAAAGGCGCTCAAAGTTAACTAACCTGCTTTTCTTCACGAAATAGCATTTTCGAAGCAGAGTTGCAAGATGTCATCCCGATATGTCATGCTACCATCGCCGGTACGAGGATTGTTGGACGGTTAACAGCTGGGTAAGCCACAATTTGAATTTGCTCAGCATGATCCTCTTCTCCCCCCTTTATGAACAGTTACAACCAAACCACAATTCGCAGCTGACCATGATATTTTCTCTTTATTTTCTCTATAGTAACCGCAAAGGCCTTCTCGTCCCCACGTCGACCAC